AACAAATAGCTTATAACCGTAGCTTATTACTTTAACCCCTTAAACAGTATATAAACTATGCCTACTTATAAGTGGAAAAACAATCAAGATATGCAACAAACACACTTGTAAGGAAAAGTCATATTTTTAGTGAGGAGATGTTTTTCTAGGTCATAGGCCCCATTTTGTGTGGACTATAAATAAGTGTACGGTACAAAACTACATTTTGTGTGTGGCATTGTGTTCTGTTTTCATTATATTGAGCATTTTTACTTGTGCCATAAGTATACTGTTGCCTTTACAACCACGCCACTCCCCTAACCCCAATCCCAGTCCTATGCAGATCCCCAAAGCACAACGGTTTGAATGGTAACCCGTGAGAAAAATAGAAAGTAAATAATGAATTTGTGTCCATTCTGTTTGTATCTGTCTGTCTGTTTTATCTGTTTGAAGCTTCAATGTGCTTTTGTATTCCTTACAGTATGTACAGATCCTCCCTTTCTCTCTGTCAATAGCAAAACCTTGTATTACTGTATATTAGAACAAAGACACTCTTCATGTGTGTGTTTGGCTTCACTTAACCTGTGCAATCTAACATCATTGTTTTATGTTACTCTGCAAACAGTTCCAAGGGATACATACATATACACATGCGGATCAGAGCGTATATATATTGTTTTTGTGTTCTGGTTTTATTTCTGTATCTTCCCAATGTGCTTCAAAGAAACAATAGTATTTATTACATTATTGGTACATTATTATCACAGTTATTATTACAGTTATGACTACCATGGTTATAAATAAACATTTCTTTCCTCAGTACCTCCCCTGTTAATGCGGTTAATGCAGTTAAAGAGATTTCACACATTATCTGCAGAAACACTGTCTGTTTAAGCTCATGTACTGGAGTGGATGGACTACAAAGATTGCAAGAACAAAAGTAAAAGTGTTTTTGTTGTGTGTGTGTGTGTGTGTGTGTGTGTGTGTGTGTGTGCGTGCGTGCGTGCGTGCGTGCGTGCGTGCGTGCGTGCGTGTGTGTGTGTGTGATATATACAGATAAATAGCTCCTTCTAGTGGTGTGTGAACTCTTTTCCTTCACTTCCTTCTGAGTGTGTTTTCACTGGGAAATCAAGTTCTGGGTACACATTAACTTCAACTGCAACACAGTTAAAACAGAGTGCTATCACCCATCACACGACACAGTTTAACACCTGTCACTAGTGCTTCTGTTAGGCACTCATTTTGGACATCTAGAGTTCATACATGTTACTTTGCACAAGGAGTTTAGTGCCATCACTTTCCTGATTCAACCAGACAGCGGGATAGGACCCTAGACTTTTGCTTCTGTCTTTGAACCCTTGTGTCTGTTAACCTTGAAGGAGACCTATCATGCTATATTTAAATAATATATTGTAGGGCCATACCTATATAAGGTATATTTATACGTTTTCTTTTTCAAAATACCAAACAGATCATGCATTTTAGCCATGCCTCATTTTGCTCTATTTTCCTCTCCTCCACCCTGTCTTTGCATGCGCTGCAGCTGACCACGCCCCCCTGCAAAGGAGCGGGCCGAGTTACGAGTGTCATGTTACCATGCTGTTACCATGCCACGGCAACCTCTCATTCCCCTGATTGGTGGAGAGTTGGCCATATAGGCGGAGCTCCTCGTCACTGACGTCAGACTATTTTCAAATCTGTATCAGTCTGTATCAGATCCGTTAAAGCCCCGTTTTTAGAGATTTGGGTATGGAAGAAAAGAGAGAGGGTTGTGTTTTCTGACACTTGGTGAGTTCCCGGGGACACATATTCATGTATAAAAGACGTACAAAAGTGCATTTTCCATGATAGGTCCCCTTTAATGGGCTTGCCAATTCATTTTTCAGGGAAAAAGTCTCCATCATGTGGAATGTTAAAGGGACTAAGGTGCCCATGTCAGCTTAGGGCCTTTTTCACAAGCATTTTCTTTCAATTGATTCCAATGAGAAAAATGCATGCCATCGCAAGCAAATATTTAAACTTTTTGAGAAAAGCGCTCATGACGTCACTGTATCAATACGTTGAGAAGCTTTTTTTTGACCGTGTGTTTTAAGGCCGCTACACACCAACCTGAGACCAAAGAACGCGTACCGAAGGCCTCCCGACTTTTGCGTCGGCTACGCCGCCCGCCTACGAACACACCGCAAAGACTTCAGTCAACGAGTGGCAATAACTGTCCTTACCAGCAGGCAGCGGTAGTGTGTATTCGTCATTCAAAAGAGGCAACAACCGGAAGACAGACTGCGTTATCATTGCGTGATACAAACAAACAACAAATAGCGTCTGGGTTCCATTTTCACTCTCTCTCGTCAATCAAAAACATGTATCGTATGGTACTGGCATTATCAGCAATTGGAGTGTTGCTTGCGGCTGCAGAGATTAAGAAGCGGAAGCGAAAAATGTCGAGAGCTGTCCCAGGAAGATGGAGACAAGACCCTGAACTACGGCAGGCCACCCTGCCACACGGCACCAATATTCCAGCTCGAGCCAAGCAGCACAGGGATGAACTATGCCAATATTTTAAAGGTGTTGGTGCAGTGCCTTTCCAGTGGGATAAGATATAGCAAATATGTCTATTGCTGTGTTATCAATGGCTGTAGTATCAAGGTACGAAATAAAGTTTTGTATTGCCTATCCTGCTATTTGTGTTTATTCTTTTAATCACACAGCGTTAATAAAAAATAAAACATGTGCCTACATAACTGTCAGTTACAGCCGTACATTATTATTGGTTTAACAGTATATTTTTAACACATTTTAAAATGACCATCTTGAACAGCTACAACGTTAAAATACTTCTAGGCAGATTGTGGAGGATAATGGGAGAAAGAATAGAGGGGCAGACAGAAACACCCATCTGAATAATGGCCACTTCTTGCAAAATGTACATTTCCATGTGATGCTCACAATAGGTAAATGAACAATGAACAGTGGTAGACAGTAGCTCTATCTGTCTGTGTGTGCCTTCTTAATCGTTTGTTTTGGCCAACAAGTTGAATCGGCCGCGGGAGATGTGAAAATGTGCCGTAAAGAGACAACGGTGCGGGACACACCAACCTGAGTAGGGCACCGCGAATGCCCGACTGCCTCTGACGACCTCTGACTCAGGGCCTTTAGACGGAAACTATCATAACAAAGGGAAAGAAGCCTATTTGTTTGAGCTGATCAGCTGGCGGACTCTGAGACCCAATCCCAAACTACACCCTACACCTGACCCTACCCCTACACACTACCCCTCCGTTTGCACGTTCACGGTGGCGTGTGTTGAAGCTTCAACGCTTCTGCCCATTCACTTTGAATGGGGTGACGGCACGCTTTGCCGAACTGCATTGTGGTTCCGTCACTTGGCTTTGCTCGCGTTGCCCACTTCAAAAGTTGAGAAAAGTTCAACTTTTGAAGCTTCGACGGAAGCGTCAGCCAATCAAATCATATGCCAGTACAAGCTCTAGCCAATCAAACCGCGTGCTTGTGCGTCCGGGGCGAGAGATTCATTTGATTGGTTGTTGGTCGAGTTTCAGACACGCCCGCCGGCAAGCTTCAACGCGCACTGCCGTAAGGGCTGTTCCAAACCAACGAGTGTGGAGCACCGGTGTGGAGGGGGAGTGGGCTATCAAGCCCTCAAACAGCGAGTCAGCAGCGGTGCTGACTTGAGACCGGTCTCTGCCTGACCGGTCTCCACGCTGTGTGTGTCCGTCAGGAAACAAGCTGTTTACAAGTAGTTCCAGCAAACATCCACTGATAAACTGCGATGTTAACAACCTCATGATAGCCTCATATGTTTTAACTTAGGATCATACCTGTGTTTAGTCTAGAAAAAGGTAAATGTGTGCATTTTATTAGAAAGNACTAATTGTACTACTAAGTCGAGATACCTCTCTCTGTACTGTTCAGATACTAGTAAAGAACTGCACCTCGATTAAGGACTTCATATTGTAACTTATGACCGAAAGATAAGGAGGTAGATACACTGACACCCTGAGGGAGAGAACCTAATAGTCGTACACTTCCTGTGACAAGTCCTTTTCAACTACGAGACATACACTACTCGATGAAGGTAAGACCTCTCCTAGTGTCTATGTACCTAGGGACTCTAACCTCCGAGTTCGGGCCCCTGCTCACTATAAAAGAGCTGTATAGACAATCTTTTATATGAGCAGGGGCCGAAACTCGAAGTTAGAGTCCTAGGTACATAGCACTAGGAGAGGTCTTCCTTCATCAGTAGTGTATGTCTCGTAGTTGATAAGGACTGTCACAGAGAAGTTGTACGACTATAGGTTCTCTCCCTCAAGTGTCAGTTGTCTCACCTCCTTATCTTTCCGTCATAAGTACAAATGAAGTCTAATCGAGGTGGCAGTCTTACCCAGTACGAACATTACAGAGAGAGGTATCCTCCGACTTAGTAGTACATTAGTGTATCGATAGTATACGGAGTTGTCAGGACTACGAGAAGGATCCATTTAGTGTGTAGGACAGTACAAGTGTCGAATGTCAACCTATGGAAACGATATATCACCTGAGACTATGCCTTCTCATGTAAGTCATAAAAGGGTTGTTTGTAGGTACATCTACACACAACAGAGACGAAAGTCCACACCCACCTCTGCTTCGGTGTCGGGTCACGACCTAGGCCCCAGACGGTCGGGACCATTCCTGGAACTCTGCTGGCCTCCCAAATACCTCCCAAGTCCTAGGCACTTTGGCCCCAGCTGGTCGGACGGAGACCCACACCGGGACGAGAGACGACGGCAGCGGAGACCCGTGCCTCCGAGCGTGGTGTTCATATGCCTCAAACAGTCCTGATGCTCTTCTAGGTAATCACACATCCTGTCATGTTCACAGCTACAGTTGGGATACCTTTGCTATCATGTGGACTCTGATATTGGAAGAGTACATTCAGTATTTTCCCAACAACATCCATGTAATGTGTGTTGTCTCTGCTTTCAGGTGGTGGGTGGAGACGAAGCACAGCCCAGTGCTGGATCCCGGGGGGTCTGTCAGCCTGGTAAGGACCCTTGAGACGACGGAGGGTTTATGGAGGGTTCAGGATCCGTGAAACCGGGGTCGACAGCCTGCCTCTGGGTGTGGCTGCTCTCTGCTGCCGTCGCCTTCCTGTGCACGGAGGCTCGCACCACCCCAAGCCCCTTAATCACCCCCAGCAATGCCACCTGCTCGGGGAACTCCAAATGCAGAGCGGGGATCATCTTGCCCATCTGGTACCCGGAGGACCCGTCCATGGGGGACAAGATCGCCCGGGTCATTGTGTATTTCGTGGCCATGATCTACATGTTCCTCGGGGTGTCAATCATCTCTGATCGCTTCATGGCCGCCATCGAGGTCATCACTTCACAGGAGAGGGAACTGGTCATCAAGAAGCCCAACGGGGAAACGACCACCACCGTGATCCGGGTGTGGAACGAAACCGTGTCCAACCTCACCCTCATGGCCTTAGGATCCTCGACCCCTGAGATCCTGCTCACGTTAATCGAAGTCTGTGGACACGGGTTTGTATCTGGAGAACTCGGGCCGGCTACTATTGTGGGCAGCGCAGCCTTCAATATGTTCGTGATCATCGGCATCTGCGTGTCTGTGGTTCCCCAAGGAGAGGTGCGTAAGGTCAAACACCTGCGAGTGTTTTTCGTCACGGCGGGTTGGAGCGTGTTCGCCTACATCTGGCTCTACATGATCCTGGCTGTGTTTTCCCCGAATGAAGTCCAGGTGTGGGAGGGTCTGCTCACGCTGGCCTTCTTCCCCATATGCGTTTTCATGGCTTGGATAGCGGACAGAAGACTGCTTTTCTTCAAGTTCATGCACAAGAAGTACCGCCACGACAAACACCGGGGGGTCATCATCGAGACGGAGGGGGAGCGCTCGAAGGGCATCGAGATGGACGGCAAGATGGTGAACTCGCACTTCATGGACGGAAGCGCCGCCAGCAATCTCATCGGGTTGATCGAGAGCAAAGAGGTGGACGAATCCCGGCGAGACATGATCCGAATCCTGAAGGATCTGAAGCAGAAGCACCCGGAGAAAGAGCTGGATCAGCTGGTGGAGATGGCCAACTACTACGCCCTGTCGCACCAGCAGAAGAGCCGCGCCTTCTACCGCATCCAGGCCACCCGCATGATGACGGGCGCCGGAAACATCCTGAAGAAACACGTGGCGGAGCAGGCCAAGAAGAGCGTCAGCATTCAGGAGATTCACGTGGAGGAACCGGAGGAATACGTGTCCAGGATCACCTTCGACCCCGCCGTCTACCAGTGCCTCGAGAACTGCGGCGCTGCGATATTAACCGTCACCAGAAGGGGCGGTGACATCAACAAGACGATCTACGTGGATTACAAGACGGAGGACGGATCGGCCAACGCTGGGGCCGACTACGAGTTCTCCGAGGGCACGGTGGTGTTCAAACCAGGCGAGATGTTCAGGGAGATCAACATCGGCATCATAGACGACGACATCTTCGAGGAGGACGAGCACTTTTTCGTGCGGCTGGGGAATCTGCGCGTCCTGGAGACGGAGGACGAGGTGCTGTCGCCCAACAGCCTCCCGTACCCGAAGGCCATGCTGGGATTCCCCGCCGTGGCCACCGTCACCATCTTGGACGACGACCACTCGGGCATCTTCACCTTCGAGAGCGGCTCGGTGCACGTCAGCGAGAGCATCGGCATCATGGAGGTGAAGGTGCTGAGGACTTCCGGAGCGAGGGGCACGGTCATTGTGCCGTTTCGCACCGTGGAGGCGATCGCCAAGGGAGGAGGGGAGGACTTCGAGGACAACTACGGAGAGCTGGAGTTCAAAAACGACGAGACCTGGTAAGACTGCTTTTTTATGTATTATTTTGTGTCATGGTTGTGCAGCGTTGGGTTTTTATTCATGTGTTGTTCGTGGTTTATTATTGCTGAATTTTTTTATCTGAATTTGTCAACTTGTATTCATGTTTGTCTACTTATACATTTGTTGAATGTTGGCTGCTTCTATCCTCCATATTACACCTGAAGAAACGTTGTATATGAGATTTGACAGCTCCCTTCAAAGCTGTGCAGCCTTCCTCCTGACACGCGTCTCATTCAGCGTTTGCTTTTGTCACAACAACTTCGTCTTCTTCGCCTCTTGACATCATTTAATTTAGATCGTACTCCGGTTTCCTTTTCATGTGCTGTTTGCACTCATCACTGAGCAATACAAAACGCTTCTTTCTTGACACGCTGAGACGGCGTACCCTCTCATCTCCTTTACATCCCCGTGTTTTCCTGTCAAGAGAGTTTCGCTCAGGTGTGTGTGTGTATGTATGTGTGTGTGTGTGTGTGTGTGTGTGTGTGTTACAGTGAAACTAGTTGCGGACGGTCTGGTTGCACACCACTTTATTTGTTTAGTTATAAAGACTCGCGACGTGTCGGAGGAAGAGGAGGGTCTCCGGACCTAATGTGCGGGTGCCTGGCTGTTTTCCTTCAGTATGTGTATGCTACCGTGAACTTACGACATATGATGTCATGCGTCATACAAAAAATCCCCGTCTGCGGTTTATACGCGGTGAGACAAGATCACGGCCAAACCACGATGCCATACTTTTTCCCGACGTCGTTGTAATGTATTTTGTATAGAAGCCGGACGAAACCTCCCGAATGAATGGTTTTGACTGCCGGAGGTCCTTCCTTGTGAGTAGTTAGGGTCAAAACCGGAGCGACGGTGTGTATATAGCAAAGTCGAAGAGCTCTAACGGTTACACCAAGTACTTGGTAATTAGATATTAGCGGTCATGCCGGGTTAACCTTTATATTGTGAAGAGCAAAGAACGACGACGGTGCTATGTTTTTCAAGGAAAGGGTATTTAACCCGCTTCGGAAGCCTCGATCAAGTCCGTCAGCGGCTCGTCTTAGTCTTATGGACAATAATCAGGGTGTCTCCCCTTTAAACGTCCGCGAATGTCGTCCCATTCTCCGGCTGGTCTGTCCGCAATGTACAAACGGGTAAAAGGAATGTACAGCAGAGTTTCTCTATTTTATGTTTTTTCCAATGTAATTAAAAGTTTTTACGCGTGCTAGTCTTTTGTTTAGTTTATCGTTGCAGCCCTCGTCGAATACGGACGTAGACGTATGTGATTTGCCCCGGCGGGACGGTGAGATGTTCGGTTGGTTTGTCCAGAGGACATTATAACGGCGAGAATAATTGGACGGTCTAAGAGAGAGGTACGTAACGACGACGACGATAACGACGTCGATGAAGGTGCAACGACGAACGAACGGACGGGGTCGAAGGTGGGGTGGTGGTGGGGTCGAAGGTGGGGTCGCAGGGTGGGCGTCGAAGGTGGGTCGAAGGTGGGGTCAAGGTGGGGTGCCAAGGGTGGTGTGGTGGGGGGTCGAAGGTGGGTCGAAGGTGGGGTCGAAGGTGGGGTCGCAGGTGAGGGTCGCCGGCAAGGTGGGTCGGAAGGTGGGTCGAGGGGGTCGAAGGTGGGGTCTAAAAAGGTGGTGTCGCAGGTGGTGTGTGGTGGTGGGTCGAAGGTGGTGTGGTGGTGGGGTCGAAAGGTGGGTCGAAGGGTGGGGTCAAGGTGGGTCGCGGCAGGTGGGGTGCGACAGGTGGGGTGCGCAGGTGGGGTCGCGGCAGGTGGGGTCGAAGGTGGGGTCGCAGGTGGGGCGCAGGTGGGGTCGCAGGTGGGGCGCAGGGGGTGGGGTAGAACGGTGGGGATCAAGGTTGGGGTCACAGGTGGGCGGTCGTAGGACTGGGGGTTCAGGTGGGTCGCAGTGGGGGTCCAGGTGCGGGGGTCGCAGGTGGGGTCGAAGGGTGGGGGGTCGCAGGTGGGGGTGTCGAAAGGGGGTGGGGGGGGGTCGAAGGTAGACATCGAGTCCAACCCCAATAATAGATTAGTAGTGAGTAGCACGGATACATATAGGGGGGGGACACCTCCACTACGTCCGGGGACTCGGATCTGGCGGTTTGAGTTGATATACGACGAACGAATTATTTGTACAATGGGGGGTCCTTTGTGCACTCAACAGATTGACTGGTGATTAGAATATACATTTAATAAAAGACTTTTCTTCGCATAAATAAGACCTAAATTCCGAAGAAGTCACTGTGTTAAACAATGTTGTCTCAAGTAACGTTCAAAGAGACGTACGGTTTCTCTTTGGGGCAGTTAAATGGTAGTAAGGGAAATTTAAGTAGTTTTTGTTGGTTCCTTTACGCTATCAACTCGTTGTGTGTTAGCTTTTATCGCATATGTTTCTACCTTCTTTGGGCTTTCCAACGGGTTTTTCTTTACCTTTTCAGTCCTTCCATAAAACCTGTTTTCCGCTTTCTTGCTAACAGGGGTTTTTTTGTGACCACTGGGTTTTGTACCAGGTATAAAAGCAGAAGAACCACTTTTACGTGTCAAAAAAAAAAGTGTAACGGTACGCTATATGTGGTCATATAGGGGGGTCATACCTTTTTGAAGAAAGGAATACTGTGTCAGGTTGGATCTTAATGACTGTACGACGACGTATTATGGCGACGGTATCAGCCTTTATTAACGTTCATTTTCTCTCTTTCTAACGTTTTTTGGGGGCCTTCTAAACGAAACGGTTTTTGTTGTGGTTGAATTGGCATTTAATAACGTTATAGTATAAAAAAAACGCGGGTTTTGGTACGGTAGGGAAGGAAATAAAAACAGTACCTAATATTGTGTCACAATTGGACTTTCGTGACAGTATATGACTATTATCAGACCGGGACAACCTTCATAAGGGGGACCCAGAGAAAGACAGTATGACAGAGATAAGAAGGTTCGGACGAGAGGAAGTACCTTGGTCTGTGGAGTTTCCTCGGTCGTAAACAAACTCTAGACCTGCAAAGTTTGTTTTTGGGGTCTCTCGGGTCCGCTCTAGTCTCCTACCGCTCGTAACCACATTGAATTCCTTGGAAGAACAAAGGTGTCAGCCACAACTGCCTAGGGGTCTCAACTTAGGGGGGTATCGTAGTCGAGGTGTGTGTGTGTGGGTGTGTGTGTGTGTGTGTGTGTTGGTGTGGTGGTGGTGTGTGTGTTCGTGTGTGTGTTGTTGCGGTGTGGTGTGGTGGTGTGTGTGTTGTGTNCCTCATATGTTTTAACTTAGGATCATACCTGTGTTTAGTCTAGAAAAAGGTAAATGTGTGCATTTTATTAGAAAGTTGTGTATATTTACAGACTGTTGCAAAAACTAAGAAGCTTATAAACATCAGGTTTAAAACTAAAAGAGATTTACAAAAAAGTAACACAATTAAAGATGTTATTTTAGTTATTTATTTTTATTTTTTGTCAAAGAGATGCTGATTTGAAACCGTTGTTACATACAGTTACGGCATTTCCTGTTTCTGCCGGAGAGAGGGGAGGCCGTCCCAAAGCTTGCCGCTGTATTTACTCTCTCCATCTGACAGGAGGGAGCCTCATTGAGCTGCGAGTGTCACTCCACGGAGTTCACTCCGTCACGGAGGGGTAGTGTGTAGGGTTAGGGTGTAGGGCGTGGTTTGGGTGTTGCTGCCGTTGAGTTTGTGACTTTGATTGGTGTATTAATTAGACGATTAAACTAAGCAGTCTAAAGCTCATTCAAACAAAGTGTGAGAATATTCCAGTCGGTGTTCAAAGTGAATGTGAAACTAAAATATGCCAGAAAAAGGAACTAGTTTACACGACCATTTGGAGCTTCGACTAATTGGTTTCCAGAAAATGCAACTATACCCAATGTTATCTCAAATCAACACAACAAACACATTTTTAAAATAAATGTTGTCTTAAAAATGATTCACCATATACTGCAAACGTAACCCACTTGTTGCTAATTGGTCTAAATCAATCAGACTAAACACTTTTCCAACACGAATGAACCATAAACACTAAAAACCTTTGATTGGACACAGTGATGCAGTAGTAATGAGTAATTGTACAAAGAAATTCTTTATTTAAACTCTTTCTGAAGGTCTTCATCCTTATTTAATGCTGAATCCACACACACGCATACACACACGTACGCAGTGGATTCCATCAAAGTCCACCTGTCTGGCCCTAAGCCTCACCCAGCACACCATGCATGCCAGTGTCAGAGCCAGAGATAGTGAAAGAGAGGGATGATGGGACATTGATAGCCATTTGTCTTCCATCTCCTTAGGGACACAAGACAGAGAGCTGTTGTCCGTCTCCTCCACTATCATTTACTTAAACAAAACAAATGCCTCATCGATCCCCAGTCCCTCCTCACATCCCCGCCGTTCCCTTTCCAGCACAGCAGCCAGGGAACGCACTCGACACACACACACACACACACACACACACTGTACAACTCACAACATTGATCCTCTTCTGCAGCACTTTGTCATCAACTTCCATTGTGTGCCAAACAATCCCCGCTGTCGCCACAGTCCGAGACAATAGATGCTGCTGTTTTAGCATCTTTCTCTGGCCTCTGGTGGCCTTAAGGGGTATAACTGTACACAAAATGTTTGCATTGACCCCTCAGGCCATCACACGTTGGAGTTGTTTGTCTGGACATGGTGTATGTTGCATTCTGGCATTAACCCAATAACATAATTCGCCCTTTTGACCATGTTCAAGAACATTTTCAAAAGTTGAGCTCTGGAGTGCGATTTGAAATGCCGACGCACGGAGAGCCCAATACAACTACTAGCATGACCCACCCCAGATCACAGCTATCTAGCATGCTCTTCTTGGCGACCACTGTCCTTGCTACGCTAAACAGCTAGTCATAGTGGCTCAGAGAACAGTCCCAACATTTCATTTCCCTGCAATGAAGAAGTTTAGCCTGCAGTATACAAGCTGGCCAATAGTTACTACAGCTGGCCAAGAGTTA